GAACTCCCAACTCTTGAGCCACGATCGCCCAGATGAACAGTTTTTGGGAATATAAAAAGTAGTTCCCTCAAACATGACAGTGAATAACTGCTTTGCAAAAGTCTTTTTGGAACAGATTTTTGACCTACAGCTTGAGTTTTATGTGAGCAGGAAGCCAAACAGTCATTTCCCAAGTGTACTGAAATAACAAAGGATACATGGAAGGCAGGAAGTGCTTCTAAAAGCTGATATGTCTGCAGAAACTCGAGCTCTGTGATGAACAGTATTAGTTCATCAAGTAAAAAACTACAGATCCTTGATCTGACCTTTTGTTTAAATAGTCTTTGAAATTCACAGGAAGAGTGAAAATACTGCATCCAAGCTCATGGGTCACCCACAGATTCTAACGTCTCCCATGAAGAATCAAGCAACATGAGAACATGTGGAACGTATTCCTTTGGTTCCCAAATTGTCCTTTCAATTTAACGTCCTCCAAACCTTATTACCTTATTATCACAAGGCCAAGGAGCTGACAGTTAGACGAGTGAACTGAAGACAGAAAATAAACCAGAGTCCTGTGGAGCTAAAGGTTGATGCCTTTGACCAGTGAGGCTTCCAGTGTGATGGAGAAGTCGTGCAGTGTCTCAAGGACGCTTATAAGGGTATTGAGAGTGGAGGGGTCTCTGAGCATTGCTGTGTCCTCATACATCTGCAGGATCACTGGACACTCCACGAGCAGGGGGAGCCACGGGGCCAGCAGGCGGTCTCTGTGGGGCAAATTATTAAAACTTCTGTTTATCACATTTTAAATTTCAATTTTTAATTCAATTTAGTTTTTAAAAAATGTTAGTTTCAGTTTGGTTTGATTATTTTTATTCATTATTGTAGCATTATGTCACAAGATAAAGCGCCTCGAGGTGACTGTTGCTATATAAACACAACTGAACAGTTTGAGTTGCTACACAAAGCCTCCCATTGCTGGGGTGACGATCCTGACCACACTGACAGACTCATCTCCTAATTATTGTTTCGTTTAGTTTTGGTTGAACGCACAATATGATTTGGTTTTGTCTTAATCAAGAGTCCAGTTTAATTTTAATTTCAGTGAACAATGTTTTTCTGCATACCGACAGTAGTGTTAGCTTTAGTTTTATTAACTGTAATAATGAGACAGACGATTTAATATGTGTAGTGTTATTAACAAATAGTAAATGTGTGTGCTTATGCTATAAACAATATGATAAGCAAGCAGTCTGTGTCAGTTAAACGTAGTTAAATCAACTTAAATGTTAATTAGTGGTGAGACTGCAGATTTTCAGCAGGACTAAAAAGATAAGACAGGTGGATTACTGGGTCTGGACTTGAGATGAAGCATGACAGGTGGAATATCCGGAGGCTCAACAGATGATGAAGACAGAGACTTGGAAAAGAGGCCAGAAGAAGACAAGTTGAAGCCCCTCTGGAGAACAAATGAAACCCTCAGGAGTCTTGAGAGCAGGCTGTCCATAAGAAGACAGAACAGGAGCCCAGCAATGAAGACGGTGGACTACCAGAGATGACTTGGCAGGCGATGGTGAGGTAAGGCAGGGAAGCAGCAGCTACGGCAGAGGCCATCTGGTGGCCAAGCAATGCTTGGGAGGCCGAAGACAAGGAGAAAGGCCGGGAGACTAACGGCTGAGGGAAAGCCGAGCTGGTAGCTGAATTTAAAGCAACTGATGGTGAAGCACAACAATCTGCTAGTTTTGAAAGTAGCAGCCATCTGGCTCAGACAACGTGGGACCCTGTGGCTCAGCTTCCGGCTGCTCATGTTCAGACTGTGCAGAATCCACTGAAGGTTCCTTCTAGGATCTCTGGCCAATGAAGAGGATCGGCTCCCTGGCTCAAAGTACTGTATCATCTCAAAAGAGCACTTTGCGCTTAGACTGTGGGATTACTTTTAGTTCCTAGGGCATTAAAAGTAGAAAGGGAGGCAGAACCCTCAGCTTTCAGTTTGGATTCAGGAGAAAAACAGGTTTTCTACTTGGATTAAAACTTTCCTTTCTCATTAAGGTTGTAGTTGGGGCTGTATCAGGTGACCCTTCTTTAATTATGCTGCACTAGGCTCCTGGGGGCTTCCCATGATACATTGTGCCTTCCTTCTTCACTCACCATGTATTTATTCACCACTTTGCATTTAATTATCATTAATTATCATTAATTTCTGCCTCTCTTCCACAGTGAAGAGAAACAAAGAAAAAAAGAAAATAAGCCAAGTGTCACCTGTGGCCTGTGACTCAGTGTTTTTGTGTGCTTTAGTTATATTCTTTAATTATTGTAATTCGTGGGTTTTGCTTCTGCTGTGTTATATTTTCAGTCCTTTGGTTTCTGTCATTAGGCTGTCTCGTGTTCCTCGTCTTGTCACACTTGTCCTCGTGTTCCCAGTCAGCCATGTCTCTCTGTCTCAGTGTCAAGTCCACATCTTTGTTATACCTCCTGTTTTATTTTGGCGGTCCCGTGTCTCATGTCAATGTATCTAGTTTTGCTTCCTTTGTCTCGTTATAGCTAATTAATCCCAGCTGTGTTTCCCTCCCGTTTCCCATTCCCTGATCACTCAGGTGTGTATTTAAGGCTGTGTTTTCTTTGCTTTGTGTCATGGTGTACCCTCACCATGCTGGTGGCTTCCTGTCTGTGTTCCTGAGTGTTTAGTTCTTGAGTCCAGTTTAATTTCTAGTTTTCAGGTTTGACTTTTTAGTTTTTTTGTTTGAATGAAAGCTGCTATTAGAGTTTCACTCTGGACGTCTGAGTCCTGCATTTGCTGCCAGCCACTCAGCACTCGCCTCGACAGTGAGCATTTATTTTGTCCCTTAGAGGAAATCCGAGACAAATGAAAACTTCTGACCACAATCGTGACGTGTTTGTGTCACATTTCTGATCGAATAATCACATATCAAGAGATGCTATTCGAGCCCACACCTGAGCGGGGACAGCTTCCATCACAACATAATTTACATTAACTCGTTGTCGCGACACTGACCTGGCTCCGAGACAGACTAACAACTGGAACTTTCCGTCCTTGCCGATGTTTCTGGAGGTGGAGTTGATTGCATTGAAGTAATGACAGAGTGACTGACAGGTCATCTTCACGGCCTCAGTGGTCTCCTGAAGGTCTCCCACCTGGTCAGCTGACTCCATGTAGGCAACAGCCTTCTCTGCAGGGTTTTAGAGGAGCATCACACACCATATCAGTTTACCTTACACTGTTGTGTAACAGCTCAACAAACTGAGAACACTAGGCTGAAGGCTGTGTTACAAATTCATTTGAAAGCCCAGATTACACAAAAATAATTGTAAATGTTGTATAATCCTCCACAAACACGTATAAAAACCACGACACATGAATAAAAAGGTTTTCTTTAATCCAGTAAAACCAGTACACACTCTAACAGTTTACTAGCCCTTGATTTTCTGCCGTGGGCCAAACTGAACAGTTTTCCTCGTCAGCAGTAGAGCGTGCTGTCTCTTCACACTCACCCACAAAGTCCCACACAAACACCGTCTTCTGGAAGAGCCGGGCAGATTTGAAGCCGTGATGGAAGAACTGTTCCAGAGCCGCGACCAAGCTGTTCTCGCCGCACAGCAGGACAGTCAGACTGCCTCTCTGTGCAACACACGTCAACACGTCAACGCACAAAAGCAAATGTTGATACAATATAAGAAGTTTGACATTTGGCAAGTGATACTGTTACTTTGTTACTTAGTACACACATATCTGCTAGTTAGTTCTATATGGGCAGATGTACAGTGAAGCTTGGTTGTTTGGGCAGGTAACTCGGCCCTCCACCGTATCATCTAAGTGGCTTAACACTTTTTGCTATTTACGCGATTCCCATGAACATTGGAGTAGCTCTGAAATTCGATTCAACAATGTGCTGCGACAGACTGTCACTGAAAAGAAATTACTGCAGCCCTTGGCAGAGAAAGTGCTGTGGGAAACCTTTTAGTTTCCTTTTGGACTACACAACTTGAAAGATCATCACTCTTTCAGACTTTCTATGGTCAAAGCACAACTTTACTTATGGAAACATAATGAAAGCACTCCCTGATGGAAACAGGAAAACAGAACCCACACTACTCAGAATTCACAGACAGCATAGCAGCAGTTAAGCTATAAGGCACGCACTCATTAGAAAAGGATTTGCTGACACTGACCTCTTTCTCTGGTTTGTGGAAGTGTTTGATTATGTTGTTCACTGCCTCTCCAATCCCCTCTTGGATTTGTGCTGAATTCAGCTCTAGAATGGGGAAAACATCTGCATCAGTACAGACAGCCTGAGGTAGCAACAGCTACATGTCTGTAGCTACCATCCTTCCTGGAAACGCTTGAGCTGCAATGGAAGTCTGAGCTTTAAACCACTTTGAGCACATTTTAAGAATTACCCATATAATTGAGTTCCTGGCAGCTTAATAAAGAGATTATCATTATTATTATAGAAGTTAATATGCCTTAAAGTTTTCAAAAAACTACTGCAGAAAGGGTTTTTAAAAAAGCATTTAATGGAAGCCTGGCAGTCTTATTTTGATAACATTATGAGATTCATCGATAGAGCCTTCTGAAAGTGTTTAGTGAGGTAGTGGATGAGTAATTGCACACAGACCATCTTTTGTTCCTACTGTGGATAAAATCGATTTAAATATCAGAAAGTGTGGCCAACCCTGTCAGGAAATGAAAACATTTCCTTCTCGATATTAGAGACTTCCTGTTGTGTGAGAACGCTGACAGTGACTGACTGGTATCTCGTCCGGTGAGCGACGTGATGCTGATGCGTCGGCCCTGGGAAGGCGAACGCTGCAGCGGGGGTGTACGGCAGGCCCTTGCAGAGTCATCCTCTCCGCTGGGCAACACTAATTCCCCGATTAGGACCCTCTCCAGGCTGCCGTCATCCACACCCTTACCGAGCCATCGACCGCACGGGAACCTGATGGACAACAAAGTGCTGAGGTTACACATCGACGCTCCACATCTGTTGGCATCTTTCTATTTGTTCTTCTGATTTTCAGAGGAGATATTTTATATTTGACTTGCTGTCAACAAACACGCAGAATGGTTCCTACTAACTCGCACTTGGTGTGCATCAGAGGACGATGCACTAAATGTGGTTCAGACACACAGGCGGGCGAAATTACGCGTTTTCATCCGTATATCGGTTTAATCTTTCTCCACACGTCTCTGCTCTGATCTTCTCTCTTTGTCTTTTGTATTTTTCAGTGTCTTGTTTCTTTTCTTGTCTGCTTTTTGACATTATGAGAAACAAACAATTTACACATTTAATATTTTCTCCGATTGGGTTATAAATGGACTGATTCTTATATAGCGCTTTTCTACTCTCACAGAGTACTCAAAGCGCTCTATACAACATGCCTCACTCACCCAATCATACCCATTCTCACAAGCACTTTATCTACACTTAGTGCTCTCTAACGACATTCATACACATTCATACTCCGATGGATGCATCGGAGAGCAAGTTGGGGTTAGTATCTTGCCCAAGGATATTTGGCACGCAGACTAGGGGAAGCCAGGAATCGAACCACCAACCTTCCGACCAGTAGATGACCTGCTCTACCTCCTGAGCTACAGCCACCCTTGTTATACAAACAAAATTTACCTCCAACATTGTCAGTGAGCCACACATTCCAGTTAATTTAACAAATGTTTCTATAATATAATATAATGCTGAATGAATTTGTCTGTGAAGGTTCTCAGTCATCCAGGTCATCGTAGTCAAAGGAGCTTGCAAAGAAAAGCGTCTGGACTTCTTTAAGTTGCTTGAAGACGTTTC